CCTCAACTGGGGGCTCAGCATCTATTTGCAATAACGGGAGAATGTGTAATGGGCCATAGGGAAATCACAAAGGTGCCACAAAGAAGCATTCCATGGTCTGCTGGCCCTGGATATGTCACCTTTAAGACTGGGGGCCATGTCCCAATCACCCAGGGCACTATTTGTAAATTTCTCTCCCCTCATTAGCTCCAAGGGGCAACAAGGGCCACCCAATGCATGTGGGGGTTTTGATATCCCAAGGCCACGTCCAGGAGGCTGTTTGCCCTCCCTCCAGGCCCTCTGGAGCAGGCAGGAGGATATTCCCCTGTTTTCCCATGCCTGGTTTCAGCAAGGCATCCTCAGTCTGTACTTGCAGCTGAATAGGAGCAGCAGCCCGGTGGAGCAGTGCTTCTACTGGAGCTGGGCACCCCCTCTGACTCCTCTCATTTAGAGTCTGGAGGACAGTCCATAAGTGTTTCATCCAACCCCGCAGTGTAGCGGTGGCAGCTGCAGCTTGCAGGCCCTGCTTTAAGAGACCATTGTACCTTTCAGTCATTCCAGCAGCTTGGAGATGATAGGCCACAGGGAATTTCCAGCCACTCTGCAAGTCTTGAGCCCACGGTTGTTACCAAGGCCCCAGTAAAATGTGTCCCCTCATCACCTCAATGATTAGGGGTCGCCCATAAGCAGCACACAACCACTCACGCGCAGCAATCACTGCTTTCTGATCTGGGCGCTGTGTGGGATAAACAGCTAAAAGTCCTGTGGTCATGTCCACACCTGTAATAGCATGCTTACATCCTTTTGAACTAGGTAGGGGCCCAATTACATCCACCTGCCACTGGGTCAGCAGTACCCGTCCCCTTACTACCTGTCCAGAAGTTCCCCACAGGCCTTCCAGGATGCTCTTGAGAGCAGACAACACAGGCCTCACAAGCTTCTTGTGCCTCTGCCAATGTAACAGGTAACCCTAAAGTTTTGATGGTGGACCACATGGTCTTTTGCCCAGAGTGTAAGAGGCAACAGTGTAGTCACTGGGCTACTTCCCTTCCTGAGGGACTGGCAGGTACCATTTCTAGCCATCACACCGTGGTTAGAATATCAGCCTCATCATTCCCAGGGAAGGCAAGAGGGGCATGTCCAGTAACATGATATACAGTGCTTTCTTTGTGGTAGCCTAATTCCCATAAGTCTTGCCACAAAGCCTGTCCTCACACTGGTCTCTGCATGACCATCCTTTTATTCGTATGCCATGTAGACATCCATAATGTCAGCCCCAGGTCTGCGCCCTACTCTGTGCAAATAGTCAGGGGCGGGGCTTCACTGAGCGCCACAATCAAAATGGCGCCGAGTTCAGCCCATTGGCTGCTCTGCCCCATACCTGTGTCAAACCAGACTGTCTTTGTCTCTGGTTGAACTGCTACAGCAGTCCACACAGCAGGCTGATCTCTGCTGGGCCCATTAGTGTGCCATGCATCTGAGGGAATGGGTGGCTGCCCCTCATGGAAGGGGCTAGTTTCTACCTCCTCTATAGGGACAGGAGCAGTAGATTTCTCATCTACATAAATAACTGGACCTACCCTTTCCTGTAGCTCAGCTCTCAAAGGGCTAGTAGACAGAGTACTCCTTTATTGCAGATAAGCCCCCCACTTAGCTAATGTGGGCATCTGAGCAGTCCCATGATGAGGCTTGGTCATCCAGTCCTGGACCCACCCTGCAATGGGATAGGTGGTCCTAACTGTCATGGGGAAGTTCCTGTTATGGCCTCTGTGGCCAACAGGGCAGCATGTACAGCAGCCAACTGCTTTTCTGTTAAGGAGTACTGTACCTCTGCTCCCGCGCAGAGTTGGGACCAGAGACCCAAGCCATTCCAGTCGCTGCCACAAAACCCATTCAAAGCCTTCCTGTATCACATGTACATTCAGCTCACAGCGTCTAACAGGATATTTTCTCCCTCTTCTTGGGAGACTGGCACAGCCAAATGGCCCTTTAGACACACGGGATGGGCCTCTTTGAGTCACACCCCCGGGGTTTGGACAGATAATTTAGACCTGTACTGGACGCAGGTGTGCGGGCACCAGGAGCTGCACTTGTGCAGCACCACACGCTGCCCGGGTGGGTGCCAGGTGCTGGTGCCACCACTGCATCCCTCGGGTCACTGGGCCACTGTTTCTGTGAATCTGGTGACTGCTGTCTCTGTGGCTCGCGGCGCCACAGCCATCTTCCAGGGCCTCTCTGACAGGCTCTGAGCTTGCCTGCCACCACCACCAGCAGGGCTCTCTGGCCTGCTCCCCATCAGTGAGCTTTCTGGGTGCCAGCACTTGCTTCCCTATCTCGTGCCAGGTCCGGCCTGCTTTCTCACAGCCTCCCAGGTCACACCGCCAGCTCTAACAGCTCCCACGGCCGCCCCTCCTCCTGGAACACTGCTGCAAAGCTCAGCTCCTAGCACTCGGCCTTGACCCACAGGCATAGCAGCCCACACTGCTCGCCTGTGGGGGCCCCCGCCTCTTCTGATCTGCATGCTGGGAGCAGAGCTTTCCGGGTGCTGGTGGTGCTGCTGCCAGAGCACCCAGCCCCGCCAGGCCCTGGCCAGTCAGTCTCAGCAACTGTGTTCCACGTCTGTGTGGGGCAGGGGAGGGAAGGGCATTCCCAGACCCAAACTTCCCCCAGGGGCTATAGGCTGCTGCCCTCAGGGAACTCAGCCCCACCCCTTTTCCCCTGAATCTCATACTATGAGAGGGTAGGGGGACTGCAGCAGCTCAGCCACTCAGAGGCATTTTACCAAGGCGCAGACTCAAGCCTTCAAGGCTTTTTTTTTTTTTTTCTGCCTGGTATTCAGGTAACTTTGCAGCATCCGGAAGTGCAGTCTCCTCTTCTTCAGCCTTCAGGGCTTCCGCTTCCTGCTTCCTCTCTGGGCTCTTGGAACTCCACTTTGTCTGAAAGCATAGTCTCCATCTCAGCTCGCAAAGCTGAAAGAAACACCCAGCCCACGGCCCCCATGGCTGCAGGGCGCTGAGCTTCTCTAGGGTCTTCCCCACCACCCATAGGGCTTTCTCCACTGTGCCGGCTGTGCCACTGACAGAGGGCCAGTCATGGGGTGGGAGGCCAAGCTGCCAGGAGCCTGGCCACCAAATACTACCTGCACGTGATCAGCCACTACAAGCTCCCCTCTAGGGGTGCCAGCTCCATGGTGTTCTGTGACCAATCCTGACAGCTATGCCAATTATGTTGCCATCCTTCAAGGCCAGGCAGGTTCATGGTATTCGTGCAGATGGAAAAATATTCACGGAGCCATTGGGATGTCTGGCATGCTTTCATGGAGGACAAGCCACACACGCTGCAAGCTGCGTGTCTATCTGTATGTCTCATGTCATGGCCCTTGCTCCCCAGTATGGCACCCATTGTGGTACCTGTCCCCTTGTGTGTCTCTCATCATCATCCCCCCGCAGCAGGGAGTCCCCTACCTGTTTAAGTACTGGAGGGGAACAAAGCTGGAAAACTGCCAACACATTATGTAACATAACATAATTCTGCATATGTGAGTTCACTTCATGTTATGGGAACAGTTTGCTGGACCCAGTCTCAAGGCTATGAGAACACTGGTTATCCCCTCCAAGGCTATGGGAACACTGCCCCTTAGTTACCCAGACACCTGGGTGAGGAAGCCAGACTGCTTCCACTTAACCTACGACACTTAAAATGGTTAAGATGGTAAATTTTTATGTTATATGTATTTTACCACACTTTCTAAAAGTATCTGGATTTCATGTCTCTATTTGCTAAGAACATTCTATGGTCATTGTCATCTGTCCTTTAACACTCACTTCCTTCTCAACCCACTGTGCCCTCATCGTTCCACCAAAACTGCTCTTGCTAAAGTTGTCAGTAACCTGTCAGTATTTCTGGGTTTAGTGTGCTCAACCCACGCCTATTCGACACTGTTCACCCCTGCTTCCTAGAGGTTCTCTCATCTTCTGGCTTCTGTGAGACTCTCCCTTGGTTCTTTGCTGATGTCTCACCGACAACTATTTTTTGCTGTCTTTTATTCTTCATAAATAATTCCCTCCTTGGCCTCTGGCTCTTTGTGTCTTTAGAGTTCTGCAGTTTCCTTGGGGCAGCTCAATTAAACCCAAAGAATCAGCTGTGACATTGATATTTCTGATGAGATCTCCCTCTAACTAGTCAACTCTATCTCAATGTCCCACAGACTCTTCAAACTTACCTCCTCAAACTGAACTCATCATCCCTCCTTTTTAGTTTTCTACCTCTATGGCATTCATCCCTGAATCCTATTCTGCAACCTGGGAGTAATACTGGAATCCTAACTCTTCATTATACTCCGTATCCGATGAGTCAAAAAGTCCTATTGATTCCCTTTCCCTTGTTAATTCTCAAAATCCATCTCAACTGCCAGGGCGTTGGCTTAGGTTTTTATTATCCAGTGCCTTCAAGTGTCTTTCTGCCTCCAGTTTTGCCTTCCTCAATTTTGTCCTGCACATTGTGTTTTAGTGATATTCTTAAAACTTAACTTTGATTGTGAATTAGTCTACTTAAAGGTCTCCAGTAACTTACCTCTGCTTTCAGGGTAAAGTCTTAACTCTTTAATATTCACCACACAAAGTCCGTCTAACTCCCCCCAAATCATAAATTACTACACTCTTTATCCAGCTGTGCGCTAGTGTGTGTGTGAGCCCGCATTCACAAACCGAGAGTGTGAATTCGATTCTCTGCCTGTACTTGATGCAGTGGGACGCGAAGGCCGCATTATTTTAACCCAGGTTTTTCCCCATGATCATCCCTGTCATTACTGAGCATTTCAGCATCTCAGATGCCATTAGCAGCCCAGCCTAGCAACAACGCAGCACTTTTGAGTCTGCGCAGGGCGGGTGAGAAGGGGCCAGGCACTACCTCCTCCAGGAGAGAGAGGGCGCGCGCGAGCTCAGGCCGATGAAAGCCACTCTGGCCAGGCCTTCCCTTTCCAATCAACTGCGTAAAGAGCTCACGTAAAGTCACTTCCGGGGAGTGGCGCCACGCTGTGTTAGCCGCCGAAACATGGAGGCAACTAGTGAAAATGAAGAGCCGGTGAGACGCAGCTCTGGGGTCGGGTGAATCGGGAAATCGAGCTTAGTCTAGCCTTGAACTCTCCCTCTCCCCTCCTTTTCCCATCCAGGTGTCCGGGGAAGTGGTGTCAGTGGCACATGCTCTTTCTCTCCCGGCTGAGTCTTATGGCAACGATGTGAGTATGACTCACCCGCAGCTCCCATTCACCTAGCTAGTCTGGGATGTCTGCGGGGCCTGCCGCGAAACTGTAATGTAACCGCCTCCCGTGATGTGCTCTGTAGACCCCGTCCACGTTCTCCAGAAACCACGCCTTTCAGCTCATTCTAATCCTTTTGGTCCACAAACGCAGAACTAATGCCAGTGGAAGTAGTTCTCGAACTTTGCTGCACTTTAAAATCCGCTGTGAAGCATTTGAATATCCCGATGTCCAGAGAGCAATGCGTATCAGTTAAATCGGAGTATCTGAGGCCGAGAGACCGAAATCCGTGTTTGTAAAGGTCTCCTTTGATTCCATTGTGCAGTAAAGTTGCACTGGCTTATGCTATGTCTCGTTTAGATTCTTAAGGAGAAAGCACGTGGTGTATTTGAGATTGAAGACACAGCGATATGAGAACAGTAGTAACACTCAAATAATGTGATGTATGCTACATGAGTGGATCAGGACATATGGGACAAAGCAGTTCAGCTGAAGAATAAACCCCTAGGACCGAGACAGTAGAGGAAGACTTCACTGAGATAGTGGATCTGGAACTGATCAGCTAATTGTAGGTGGGCAACAGACAAAAATTGTCAGTCAGACAAAGGGCCTGGAGTTAAAATGCAAATAGCTTGTTCTGGAGTCAGTGAAATAGATTCCTCCAGTTTGAGTGAGAGGTTCTACTGGAACAGGGGGTGGGTGCTTGGTAAGGCATATTGATAAACTAGCCTGCTTCACGGTACTGTTTCATCTTTAAATGTTATAGGGTGGGGAACTGGCTATCGGACAAACACAAATGATGATTATGACATACTACCCTCTTAAAAGTGGAGAGTAATTTTACTTCCATTATCTTACTTTGTTGTTTCTATAATTCAATTGTGTATGTGAGTTTATTTCAGTTATACAATGATTTAACTCAGTCTTGAGAGTGTTAGTAATCTACTGTTTTGTTTAGTTTCTTACACTTTCACTAGCATCCAGGAAAAGAAAGTCGGTGATTCATTCTATTTGTTAGACTGTGTGGATAGCTTTTTGTTGTTTGTCGTAAGGACAGAGAATTTTTTATTGTCCACACACATTAGTCCAGTTTTTATCCTTTGACAGTAACACTAAGTTTGGTAGCTCTCTTGAGCATTAAATTGATAACCAAGGACTTTCTTAATTTGTTCTGTAGTAGCAGGTTGGAAGATTTCTGATCTGGCATTCTTAACTCCTTTACAGCCTGATATTGAGATGGCATGGGCCATGAGAGCAATGCAGCACGCTGAAGTCTATTACAAAGTGAGTTGTCTGTCTTCATTATTAAACAGGATTAACCATGTACTGTATGATTCTCGGCTAACCACTGTTCTAAGCAATTTAAATAATTGTGTTTTGGAGATAAATTTTATTACTGTAAATCTTACCCTCAGAGAACAGGGGGGTGTGAGTGGATTTTGTTTTGACAGTGTATAGGAGTTGATCTTCTTTGCCCAGAGTTCAGTTCCTAACTGTCAAAATGGTGCCTGGCCCATAGTAGGCACTTTAATAAATGTTTGTGGACTGAATGAAAAATCTGCAGAGGACAATAGCCAGTCAGTACCAAGGCCAAAAGTGTTTGAATTGGTGAAATGGACCGTAGTATATTATGACGCATTAAAACTAGGTCATGATTTCATCCAGAACCTAAGCTGTCTGTACTTCTTAATGAAGTCTTCTGCCCTGAGAACCATAAGGGTTTTCTGGGGAAGAGGGAACAGAAGTGCAGTAAATTAGACACTACCGTATGTATGTTGTTTTATTGTCTGGCAGCTGATTTCATCAGTTGACCCGCAGTTCCTGAAACTCACCAAAGTGGATGACCAAATCTATTCTGAATTTCGGCAAAATTTTGAGAAACTCAGGGTAGATGTATTGGACCCAGAAGAACTCAAGTCAGTATCAGCTAAAGAGGTAAAAATTGTCTCTCTTAGATATTGCCTAGCTTCTGACCAACAGTTATTAATGGTGAATACACTTTTATACATTTAATATTGGGGGGGTTGTTTTAAGGAAGTTATACAAACCAGTGTACTTATGTAGTTGTCATTGACTAATAAGTAAGTTATGAAGTAACTTTTTCTTGTTTATGGATTTTTAAAATGCTTTATTTTATTTTTAGAGAGAGGGTAAAGGAGGGAGAAAGAGGGAGAGAATCAGTGTGTAGTTGCCTCTCGCATGCCTCCCACTGGGGACTTCGCTCACAACCCAGACATGTGCCCCGGCTGGGAATTGAACTAGTGACCGTTTGGTTCACAGGCCAGCGCTTAAGCCACTGAGCCAAACCAGCCAAGGCTGGATTTTTTAAATGGTCATTGAATCTGGTTTTTTTCCACCTTCTTGACTGGACATTTTGTTCCTAACGACCCAGCACTTTCAAGGGAGGAAGAATAAATTTGTTTATGTGCATAGTTGAACCAGAACACTTTGATGGAAGATTGATAAGTAGGGTACAGGGAGGTGTTTGGATTCTCTGGATTTAAGCTGGCATTATCACAGACCATGCCAAAGACCATTGAAATATTTGTGTTTTGCATTGTTTATTTGATTAGCTTGTATTTTTACAGGGCACTAAAACTCTTCAATTTTTTTGTTATTGATTTTTAGAGAAAGGGAGGGAGGGGAGAGAGAGATAAAGAAAGAAAAAGGAAAAGAAACGTGGATTTGTTGTTCCTCATATTTATTAATTCATTTGTTGCTTCTTATATGTACCCTGACTGGGAATCGAACCCATAACCTTGGCATATGGGGACGTCACTCTAACCAACTGAGTTACCTGGCCAGGGCTACAACTTTTATAATTGGGAAAATATTTTCCTGAGAGTAGCCTCTTGATTATAAAGAATGTAAACTTTTAACTCTTAGCAGGGTGTCAAGTGATCTTTAGAAAATTGCCTCTACTGAATGGACTTCTTTCTTAAAATTTAACTTTGTGATTTTGGGCCAAATCCTTGCTTTCTTTGTCTCATTTGTGCTTCAGTGGGGATGAATGATCATTTGGGGCTGAGCTAGCCAATTACTAAACACAAAACAAAGACTCCATTTAATAAATCAAATTTTGATTCTGCAGTCAAGGATTTAAGTATTTTGTCAGCTAAAAATATTGTTCATGTTGGGAAATACTAGTCCAGAGACACAGTGGGTAGTGCAGAAACGTGTTGCTAATGAAACGAGCAGTCAGCTCAAACCTAGTCTCTCTCCCTGGGGTCATTTTCCTTACTGAGGGAGCGGAAGCCCCTCTGTGGGCCCGACTTCACCAGCCTCCTGCATTAGTCACGTAATGCACCTTTTTTGCCTTTATAGAAGTGGAGGCCATTCTGTTTGAAGTTTGATGGGGTTATAGAAGACTTTAACTATGGTACTTTGCTGCGACTGGATTGTTCTCAAGGCTACACTGAAGAAAACACCATCTTTGGTGAGTTTCTTGCCCCGGGAATTGTTTCAGTGTAAGGTGAGTAAGGCTCGGAGTAGGCACTTTAATAAATGTTTGTTGACTGAATGAAAAACTAGAGGGCAATAGCCAGTGAGTACCAAGGCCAAAAATGTTTGAATTGGTGAAGTGGAGGGATCTGGTTTAACTGATGAATGGTTTACATGGATAGTTTGGGGGTCATCTTATTTGTTATATCTTTAAAGATCGTGTTACTAATTCTTGAGTAACTGTGAGATGAGATAGTTAAGTATATTCACCTTATAGGATTAGCATTTCACATCTCTGAAACTTATGACTATACTTTTTAGTCATAGATTCATTAGATTTCCAGTAGGTGTAGAGCAGCGGTGTCAAACTCATTTTCACGGGGGGCCACATCAGCCTCGTGGTTGCCTTCAAAGGGCCGAATGCAATTTTAGGACTGTGTAAATGTAACTACTCCCTAACTAGGGGACAGGGAGCTCGGTGCTGCCACCGGGTAGAAACAAAGTGGAGGGCCGGATTCGGCCAGCAGGCCTTGTGTTCGCCACCTATGGTTTAGAGAAATTGTCACTAGGACAATAAATAATTCTATTTACCTTGCAGCCCCCAGGATACAATTTTTGGCCATTGAAATTGCTCGGAACCGGGAAGGCCATAACAAAGCAGTTTACGCCAGTGTTCAGGACAAAGAAGAGGACGAAGGAGCCAGCGGAGGAGAACCAGAGAAAAGCGACAACGGAGGAGAACAAGAGAAAGAAGCCAAGGAAGGCATCAGCAAAAGTGGTGAAACGCCTATGTAAGGTAGAGAGGGAGTAGTGCCCTAGAAACTGTGACTCAGCTGAGTCTACATGTACCACGATGCTCCTTGCAGATCCCTGCAGTTAAATGTGTGTCCCTGTTCAGTGGAAGGACATGCAGAAGGACATTTTTTTATAGCCTAGTAGTCAGGAGCTTCTCCGGTTGTTCTTTTGTATGAACTGGCTTAAAAAACTATGAGTGGGGTCATAGTTGATTGTTTCTTAGTGTATTTTCTTCTTGCTTCTCTTCACTGGTTAAGTAAGACATTTTGTAAATAAATTTCTTTTGGTTCTTATGACTGTCTGCATCTCTGATTAACTTTTAAAAGGTATTAGAAATTATTTAACACTTCAGTTTTTTTTAGGTGTATAATCTCTATGCCATGTCTTATATAAAATGATTAATGCTAGTTTCTTTAAACATATGCTATATGTTCTAGTTACAGACAACATACCATACTGTATCAGTTTCAGGTGTGCAACACAGTCATCAGTCATCCGTATAACTTACGAAGTGATCACTAAGGCAAGTCCAGCACGGGCCTGACACCGCACATACGCCGTACAACATGATTAACTATATTCCCTGTGCTATAGCCCACATCCCCATGATTTTTGTAACAGCCAATTGGTACTTCCTAATCCCTTCCACTTTTTCACCCAGCTCCCCAACCCCACTGCTGTCTAGCAGCCATCAAAATATTCTGTGTATCTGAGTTTGTTTGTGTTCTGTTTGTTCAGTTATTTTGTTCTTTAGGTCCCACATATATGTGAAATCATATGGTATTTGTCTTTCTCTGCCTGACTTATTTTAGTTGACACAGTACCTTCTAGGCCCATACATGTTGTTGCAAATGGCAAGATTTAGTTGTTGTTTTTTAAGATTTTACTTACTTATTTTTAGAGAGAGGGGAAGGGAAGGAGAAAGAGAGGGAGAGAAACATCAATGTGTGAAACATCGATCAGTTGTCTCTCTCACGTGCCCCAACTGGGGACCTGGCCGGCAATCCAGGCACGTACCCTGACTGGGAATCGAACCGGCGACCTTTTGCTTTGTGTGACGATGCTCAACCAATTGAACCATGCCAGTCAGGGCTCTTTATTTTTATAGCTGAGTAATAATCTATTGTCTATATGTGCCACTTCTTGTTTATTCATTTACGTATTAATGAACACTTTGGTTGCTTTCATATCTTTGCTATTGCAAATAATGTTGCAGCGAACATATAGATATGTATGTCTTTTCAATTTAGTGTTTTGGGTGTCTTCAGATAGATACCCAGACATGGAATAGCTGGGTCCTTCTTTGTCTGTTGTTATAGCCTTTGTTTTACAGTGTGTTTTGTCTGATGTAAGTATTGCTGCCCCAGCTTTTTGTTTCTGTTCGCATAAAATATCTTTCTTTATCCCTCTACTTTCAGTCTGTGTGTGTCTTTCGATCTGAAGTGGGTCTCCTGTAGGCAGCATGTGTAAGAGTCTTGTTTTTTATCCATGCACCATCTTATGTCTTTGACAGAAGTATTTAATCCTTTTAAATTTAAAGTAATTGTTGATAGGTGTGTGATTATTGCTGGTTTTTTTAAAAAATATTTTATTTATTTATTTTTTAGAGAGGAAAGGGAGGGAGAGAGAGAGAGAGAGAAACATCAATGTGCAGTTGCTGGGGGTCATGGCCTGCAACCCAGGAATGTACCCTGGCTGGGAATCGAACCTGGGACACTTTGGTTCCCAGCCCGCGCTCAATCCACTGAGCTATGCCAGCCAGGGCGATTATTGCTGTTTTAGTGTTCATATATTTTCATCCTGTTTCTCTCCTTCTTAAAGAAGACCCTTTAGTAATTGTTCTAATACTGGTGTGGTGGTGATGAACTAACTCCTTCAGCTTTTTCTTGTCTGGGAACTCCTTTGATTCAGAATACTGGCTCTACTGGTAGAGTAATCTTGGTTTTAGGGCCTTCCTTGACAGCATTTTAAACATTTTGTGCCAGTCCCTTCTGGCCTGCAAAGTTTCTGTTGAGAAACTAGCTGACAGTCATATGGGGGTTCCCTTGTAGGTAACTGACTGCTTTCCTCTTGCTGTTTTTAAGATTCTCTCTTTGTCTTTAACCTTTGGCATTTTAAATATGACGTGTTTTGGCATGGACCTCTTTGGGTTCATCTTGTTTGGGATTCTGTGTTTCTTGGACTTGAATGTCTATTTCCTTCACCAGGTTATTGAGGAAGTTTTCCGTCATTATTTCTTCAAATAGGTTTTTAATTTCTTGCTCTCTCTTTTCTTTCTGATACTCCTATGAAACAAATTGTGGTATATTTGATATTGTCCCAGAAGCTCCTTAAACTATCCTCGTTTTTTTAAGATTAGTTTTTCTTTTTGCTGTTCTGATTGGGTGTCATCTGCTACTTTGTTGTCCAAACTGCTGATTCAGCCCTGCGCTTTATCTAATCTACTGTTGTTTCCCCTCCAGTGTATTTTTCATTTCTGACTGGTGTTTTTTTTTTTATGTTTCCTATCTCCATTTTTATGTTTCCTGTCTCTTCACTGAAGTTCTCACCGAGATCATCTACTCTTCCCCTAAGTTCCTTGAGCGTCCTTGTAACCAGTGTCTTGAACCCTGCATCTGGTACATTGCTTGTTTCCGTTTTGTTGAGTTCTTTTTCTGGAGTTTGTTTGTCTCCTCATTTTGGCCTCTTCCCTGTGTTCCTATGTAGCGCTGCTACATCTCTGGGTCTTGGTAGAGTGGTCTTAGGCAGTGGGTGTCCTCTGGGGCCCAGTGGTGCAGCCTCCCTGGTCACGTGAGTCAGGTGCTCCAGGTGTGTCCCTAGTGTGAGTTGTGTGTGCCCTCCTGTCATAGTTGAACCTGGAATGCTGTTGCTATGGTGGAAAGGACTGAACCTCAGGCTGATTGGTCGCCAGGACTGGCTGTGACTACAGTGGAGCAGCTGTTGTGCAGGGGCTGACCCTAGGGAGCAGGAGTCGCTTTATCAGGGTTCTGGTGCCTGCCAAGTCTACCCTTTGGGTGTGTCATTTGTGGAGGTGTTCAGGTAGCACCATGGTGTGGTATGAAGCTTGCCACCAGTGTGTTGCCAAAGGAGGCCTCTTGTGAGGGGCTCTGGTGCAGGCCAAGGTCAGCCATTGCATGTGCCCGGCCTGGTGTCATCTGGCCTGAGCTAGAAAGCGATCTGCAGATGGCTGCCACTTGTGCGGGGTGTGCAGATGGCTGCCACTTGTGCGGGGTGTGCAGATGCCTGGGAAGGGCGAAGCTGTCAGCCGCGGCCGGCTGCTGCTGGTGCCAGCCTTAGGGCTGCTTAGCAGGAGGTATGGGGCACACTGAGGCCGGATGCTGCTTGTTTGTTTTTTTGTGACCCTTTGAGAGATTTTAGGAAAGTCTGCAGCATGAGCCAAGACAGGCCATTTTTAGGAAGAAGCCACTGGAAGTGCATAATATGCAAGAAAGGATTTACTCAAGGACGGGGACTGGGGAATGAGGCTTCCCCCCCCCCCCCATTGGATACAGGAGAAAAAGAAAAGTTACACTTAATGGATGAATTGTCCCCTAGTCAAGAGCTAAACTACAAAGGCACACAGTTAGCAACAATTGTACACAAAGCAGATAGGTTTCTCTGCACTTCGGGTGTTAGACACAGGCTGTGATTTCCTGTTTTTTTAGAGCATTGTCCTGGGGAAGATGTGTGACTGAAAACAGGAAAGGCATCTGGATATTTGATGGCCGACATTATGGGAGACCAAGTTCTCCCCATCCCTCTTTTAAAGTCCACAAATACCAGGTCAACAAACAGGAGCACCATATGGCTTGCCAATATTGTGATAGGAAGTCTGGCTGTCCCTGAAACTAGGGTCAAGAATGGGTCAAATGCCATACAGTCCAGTAATTAATTGTGCCATTGGGCATTTCTTCCAGAGAAATGGAAACGGAAAGTTACACAAAAACCTGTATGGGACTGTTCGTAGCCGCTTTATTGTTAATTGCTAACCACTAGAACAGGTGTGTCAAACTCATTTTCACCGGGGGCCACATCAGCCTTATGGTTGCCCTCAAAGGGCTGAAATAATTTAAGGACTGTATAAATGCAACTACTCCTTAACTAGGAGCAAGGAGCTCTACATTCTGCCCTTTGAAGACAACCACAAGGCTGATCGTGGCCTCCGGTGAAAATGAGTTTGACACCCCTGCCCTAGCAACAACCCATATATACACCAGTGAGCGAACAGTTAAAAAAACTGGCACATCTACACCAGGGGATGCAACTCAGGCATAAAGAAAGATAAATTATTGATATATGCAGGAAGCTGGATGCATTTCAGGGGGATTATGCTGATTTTAGAAAGTCCGTCCCAAAAGGTATCATATGATATGATATGATATGGTTCTATTTATATAACATTTTGAGGTGATAAAAGTATAAAGAATTGGAACAGATTGCCAAAAGTTGCCAGGTTGCCAGAGGTTAGGGGCTGAGTGAGGGTGTGACAGGAGGTGTGGTGGGTAGGGGAGGAAGGTGGGCGTGGTTATAAAAGGTCAGGAGGAAGGATCCTTATGGTGCTGGAACTGTTCTGTGGTGGTGGATACACAAGCGTACACAGGTAATAAAATTTCATAGGACTATAAATATACACATGGGCGTGCACACAGGTGTACAACTGGGGAAATCTGAATCACATGAGTGGATCACATCAATGTTAATTTCCTCCTTGTGATATTTATTGTACTATATGTGTGGCTCAGTGGATTGGGTGCCAGCCTGTGAACCAAAGGGTTACGGGTTTGGTTCCCAGTTAGGGTGCATGCCTGGGTTGTGGGTCTCTGGTAGGGGACGTGCAGGAGACAACTACACACTGATGTTTCTCTCCGCATCTCTCTCCCCCACTACCCCTTTCTCTGAAAATAAAGAAATAAAGTCATTAAATAAAAGAAACCATTAAGAGGAAACTGGTTGAGGGCAACATGGGATGTCTCTGAATTACTTCCTGCAACTGTGAGTGAATCTGCCATTATCTCAAAGTAAAATGTTTAATATTTAAAAAGACAGTGAATCAGTAAAACACCTGGAAAAGATGACAAAGCTCCTGGGGAAGTTGTTCGAGAAGCATCAGTGTCCCTATCCCAGGAGGGAGGTACCTGGCAACTGGTGTGCCTGACATGGAAAACACTGACCTACACAGCCTGTCCCAGGTCCTAAGGAAAAGTGGCCTGGGGTAGTGAGGCTGCTGGGGCATAACAGTGGGGAGGAGGACCTGAAAGGAGAATTGCCTTCAGAACCTTCCTGGCCTGGCTGG